GGGCCGCCAAGGCCGCCGCGGCGGCTCTGCTCCCGGCGGCAGCCTCCGAGGGAGCAGAGCTGCGCTGTCTGGGCAGCGGCCAGGGCTGGGACAGAGGCCTCCGGCGTTGCCTGCCAGCCCAAGGCCGAGCCCCGGGGCTCTGGAAAAGGGGAGACCCAAGAGGCATTGTTGGCCGGCCAGGCCAGGCTCCTGGTGGGAAGCGCACCTCTCGTGCGCACCCTGGCACCGGGGGGACGGCAGGCACGGTGGGTGCGGGCAGGCAGGGCGGGCACAGGTACTGCTGATGCGGCTTCGCAGACCTCTGCCAAAACAAATCCCGTGTGTCTCCGCAGCTTCGCTGTCCTCGTGGGCGCAGCTCTCCTCCTGCAAGTCCCTGGGGGCACCCAGGTAAGGTTGCACCGAGCTCCTCTCGGTTGTGCTGCCCGGTCCCATGTCCCAGCGCCCCATGGCCAGCGTCCGCCCACTCTGCTTGCATCCAGAAGTGTGGGGGCTTGAAGCCTGAGGACTTCGCAACGTACTGGTGTGATAAGTATCTCCGAACTCTCCTAACATGGCAGACTCGGGCACAAACCCAAGGACCTGGTATCGGGGCATGGGGAGATCCCGTGTGCAACACACCCCAGCACCGTGTGTGGTTCCTGTCCCTGGGGCAGGAGACAGTTTTGGACAGAGTCCGGCTGAGACAGGGGAAGCACAGCTTTCCTCTGAGAGGCCAGGAGACTGGCTCACAACTCCAGCTTTCCTCATTTCTCTCCTTGCAGGCTCTGAGCAACACCAGGGAAAAGCAGCTGCCTGCCAGGCTGGCTTTGATCAAGGAAATGTAAGAGGCGCTGGAGCCAGGGCAAGCAAACCCCTCTCCTTGCACCTTCGGTGCCATATCGGGGCCCAGTGCCACTTTTAAAAGGGAAAATACCCCAAATTTGAAGTAGGGGCAGGTCTGGTTTGTAAAAACCAACCAACAAAACCCAAACCCAGCACATATTCTCAAAGCATTTCAGGGGGGAAACAATTTTCTCACTGCTTTGTATCCCAAAAATATAAGGGGCTCCCAGCTCATGTTTTCCCCATAAATTACCCACATTCTCTGATTTTAAAGTTATGGCTATTTGTCCTTTGTTTGCAGCATGCTAAAAATGCTGCTCCTGTGGTACCTGTGTACCATGGTGAGGTCTTTAAGAAAAGCGAGCCCTGGTGTTTTATCAGTTAGTACAGATCCAGCCTGTTCAGAGGATAAGCAGCAAAATTAGCCAGCTGGATCAGTTAGACTAAGTCCTAAGAGCTTACCTTGCAAGGCAAAACCAGTTAAAGGGGATGCATGGGTACTGGAAACACCTTGCAAATTGCTCATCAGGCCTCCCTCAGCAAGTGCCTTTCTGCAGAATCTATGCCTTTTGCATGGCAAAGCTGCCACAGCTGAGAAGGGTTAGGCCCTGCCCGGCCCCTTTGTCCCTGCCCGTCCCACGGGCGGGGGCTGCTTGCAGACCCCCCAGGCCTCCCTGTGGCCAGAGCCAACAAGCCCAGCTCCCTCTTATCTCCTCATGGGTCAGGGGCTCCAGGTCCTGACCAGCTTGGCAGCCTGCGCGAGGCCTCACCAAGATCTCCTTGTGCCTCTTGCACTGGGGATCAAACCTGGACAGAGCATTGCAGGTAGGGACCCCCCAATCTGCAGTGGTCCATGCACGTGTCTCTGGTGCCCTGGCTGAGGGCTGGGTTTGCAGAGCACCCACTGCTGGGTGCTTGCCAGATCTCTGGGCTGGCTCTGTCGGCAGCTGGCCAGGGCGGGAGAACCGATCCATGTGCAAAGGAGACGACAGGAATCGGCTATTTTTGTTTCCTTCTTCCAGCATCCTGGGCATAAAAGCTGTCGAGCCTCCAGAAGAGGGTGAGATAACTGAAGATGTGGAACCAGGGATAAAGGTCTTCTCCAGCGATGCCCAAGGCTGGAGAGGTAAGCCTGCTGGAGTCTCTGCCCCTGTGCCTGGCTCCCTCTGGCTACCCACCCCATTTTGAGTCTCTGTCTCCTCCAGGCCCCCTCGGAGCCCAGGCCATGGAAGGGCCAGAAGAGGACCGCGACCACCTCCACCATCCTGAAGACAATGCTGTTGAAGATGCAGCGCATGTGCAGCGCCCAGCTCTGTTCCACAACGTGCAGAGTGGCCCAGAAGAAGACCGGGACCATATCTACCACAGCTGAGTGGAGGAGATATGACTGCCTGGGATAATAAAAGGGGGGTCTGAGCTGCCCCAGCTTCTCTCCGCAGCCCTGGGTTTCCTCAGGGAGATCTCTCATCTCCCTACCTAGCCTTCAAACCCCTTCGATAAACTTCAGTCTCTGCTCCTCATCCCAGCTGTCTCCTCATTTCTGCTGGAAACCTGTCTAGGTAGAGCATCACTGTGCTTCATCTCAGTGGCACTGACACTCCTCTGTAACAGGATCTCAAAATCTGGGGGATCGCCATCTTCAAGGATTGCCCAGATTCACCTGCACATGGCCTTGAGCAGCCCGCTGTAGCTGTGACCTGCCAGCCAATGGGGTGGGAAGATGATGGCTCGGGGTGCCACCATGCTGCAGGGACCATGGGGGAGGAGAAGGGGTGCTGACACAGGCTCTCTTCCCCACAGTCGCTGCCATGGTTGGCTGCCGCTCACCCCATCACCCTGGCCTCACTTCAGCCTATGCTGAGGGATCATCCACCTCTGCTTGCCAGCTCTCTGAAGGGTGGGCTGAGGCCAGGCAAACTCATTGGATAGATGTTGGACTAACATTGGGCTTTGACTTACCACTTTACACAGGGGCATACACCAGACTGGGCAAGGGTCCCTGGGAAAACCCCATCCCATGGGGAAAGGGTACCCCTGCCATGAAGACCCTGGTAACGGCCAAAGGATGGAGACCACCCCTGCCAGGCACAAGCAGGCTGGGAAAGTGCTGCAGAATGTCCTTCACCAGGGACGCATGAGTCTAGACCACAACGGGGCTGCTCTTGCCTGGCCTCGGTGGGAGAGCAGTACAGTGAGGGGTTCAGTGAGCGGCAAACCCCCAAATCTCCCAGCTCAAGGGAGCTACGCCTGTTTGATCTGCCAGCAAGGAAGCCAAAACCCCCCGCAGTGCCAGGAAAGCCTTTTAATAGCAATCACAAGCCGAACCCTGATTCAGATCATCTCACTGAAGGAAAGGCATCAGCCGCTGCCAGGTCCCCAGCTGCTCCGTGTTGCACAGCGCTGGGGAGCTATGCCCCTTTCTGGCGGGGCAGCACATCTGGCAGAGACACCCCTAATTAGGCACGTGGGTCAGGTAAGGAGGCATGTTGTGATGACCGCTGAGCAGCTGGTGTCTGAGGGGACAAAAGGGATGGCTGTCCCTGTCCTGTGCTGGCCAGGACACCCCAGGGACACACAGGCCCCGCAGAGTTCAGCTGTCAGTGAAGTTTGCCTTCCGCTTCTCCACGAACGCAGTCATCCCTTCCCTCCGGTCGTTCTGCGAGGAGAGGGAGAAGCTCAGCGTGCTGCGGCGGCCCTGCTCCCACCCACACCCTGCTCGTGGGGCCAGGCAGATACTCACAGTGGCAAAGGTGGCGTAGAAGAGTCTCTTCTCCGTCCTGTTCCCCTCTGCCAGCGTCATCTCGAAGGCTGAGGAACAGGAGACAAGCCGGGAGGAAACTCTGCTTGCCCACCCCAACGTGAAAGAGTCCCAACCGCACCCCAAACCCCTTCATCCCCCTGGCTGCATCACATCTCAGTGACTCAAAGCAAGAGCCCATCAGAGGCGACCCCACAAACACTGACGTGGCCGGAGCCACCTCTGGACAAACTCAAGCCCTTGGCTTGTGGCCAGGAAGCTCCTCGGCATGTGCCCTATGAAGTGTTCATGCGCACCAATGCTCCCCGTGCATCTTTGGGATGGTGAGCGATGGTCTGATGCTTGCATGCATCGCAGCACTTGTTCCAGCATCTCCAGCTCTGCTTGTGAGCCTAGGGAGTTGGTGTTTCCAAGCTTGCCATGGACTCGCCACAGCACGCATCGGTCATGGCACCCAAAGCCCTCAGCATCCCCAAATCCGCCCAGCCCGTGCTGGTACCCGCATTGACAGACTCCTTCGCAATGGCTGTCACCAGCTTTGAATTGCCAGCAATCTTCTCCCCGCAGCTGATGGCCGCTTCTAGCAGCTTCTCCACTGGGAAGATCTTGCTGACAAGACCTAAAAAGGATGGTGGAGAGATTATGGGGCATATGGCTCCCCTCATCCCAGCAGTGCCTGGACACCCAACCCTGCTGGGCCGGGGGGCTCAGGGGGAACCAGCTGGGCTCCTACCTGCTTCCTTCGCCTCCTGTGCGGAGATCCTGTCTCCGGTGAGGACCATTTCCATTGCGAGCGACTTCCCTACGGCCCTGGTCAGCCTCTGCGTCCCACCAGCTCCTGAAGTGAATTAGGGAACAGCCATCAGCTCTGTAAAGAGAGGCCCTGATGCCAGGCACCGGGCCAGCCCTGCATCATACCCGCAACGCTCTGGCATTTCGGTCAAAGCCACGTGCCACTCTGGGCCAGATTGCCCATGAAAGCTGGGCTTAATGGCATTTTAACACCATGGCCAGGTGCTGTTTGCACCTCCATCAGCAGGACGGCTCATCCAAGCCCCAGCACGGCTCTTCCCCTTGCAGATGGGGCAGCGCACAGAGGTGCTTCCCCCCTGTGGGGTTACCTGGAATGGTTCCCAGCAGGATTTCTGGTTGTCCAAACTGTGCTTTCTCCCCGGCGTAAATGATATCGCACATCATGGCCAGCTCGCACCCACCGCCAAGCTTGGGAAGGGAGAGACGGGGGTCAGGAGCTGGGAACAGGCGCCCCCGCGCTGAGGCCAAAGCAGCTGCAACCGCAGACCCTAGAACTGGGTCGGGGGACACAACGGGGTCCTTTCTGGGAATGTGCCCACATAGGACTCACCGCGTAACCATTCACAGCTGCTATGACCGGTTTGCGGACTGAAGACACTCTGTCCCAGTTGGCGAGGAAGCCACCACTGTAACACTGCTGGTAAGTTTTGCTCTGCATCTCCTTTATATCAGCACCAGCTGCAAAGAGAGATGCTGTCAGACCCCCTCAGTGGTTTGGAGCAGTAAAAAATCCCCACCTGACATTCCCTGAAGGCGTTCCAAAAAAGTTAGATCCCTAAGAGAACATTCAGACGGGTAAGAAGGACCCCAGGGAGGTGATGAGGATGCGCTACATGGCATCGCACGTCCTCTGTGCTGCCCCAAGCAGCACTGCCGGACCAGGGGACAGGGCACCGTGCGAGCTGGGGGGTGCAGCAGGAGGAAGGCACGGCAGAGAAAATGTTTCGGTCAAAAATAAAACCGCCTGGCCCTCCTCGGGAGCTGCGCTGAGCTTCGCTCCGGCGGTGGCAAAGGCAATGGGATCTGCGCCTGTGCTACCTGCGAAGGCCTTCTCGCTGCCGGTGATGACGATGGCTCCCACCTGCGGGTCGCCCTCGAAGGCGTCCAGCGCCCGCCGCAACTCCTGCAGACGCCGCCCGCCCCCCGCCGCAACTCCTGCATGAGCCCATCGCAGAGGGCGTTGAGGGCCTGCGGCCGGTTCAGCTGGATCAGGCCCACGTCCTGCTTCGCCCCCTTCTTCTGCACCACGATGTACTGGAACGGGGTGCCTGCCACAGCCAGCGATAACCCAAGGGTAAAATTAGCAGCTGACTTAAGATCCACATAAATGTAGCTCGTGGCACTAATCGAATATGATCAACAAACTGCTTTAATTTCTACTAATTTGATATTATCATGATAACTAAGTGACCCTTCCACTACCAACTGGAATGAGAAGTACGAAAGGATTTAATGTCAAACGCTAGCATTTAAGATGATCTGATTTACCTGGTAATAATGAACTAGATGAGGTTATTATTAGATTCAATATTGATTTAAGATTAGATTATCCCAATAAAGGTAGCTTCTGATTTAAACCTTGCTCAGATTATCAGATGATTTAACACCAAACGTTAATTTAACAGTTACTGAAGATTCCCAAATGATTCCACACCTGAAATTTTAAAGGTTATTAATGGAGTTATCTCAGAGCTGACTAAATATGCACCCAGGGCTGCTGCAGCGCCGAGGCGTGCTGCTTTAAGGCAACCTTCAGAGTGGTGGGACTTTGCTAAAGGTCACAGCTGGGGGCAGGATTTCAGTCCAGTGACTTCAACCTGGCACCCTTTGCTTGCAGGGACAATTCCTGGCACAACCCTGGCTGGGGCAGGCTCAGTCCTGACGATCGTCCTGTGCAGGGCCTGTGCTGGGTGCTGGATCCTCGTGCACGGTCCATGCACAGAGCTGGGATCCCCGTGCATGGTGCCAGGCCCATGCACAGCCCTCTGCACACAGGGCACAGTGCTGCACTGGGGCATGGTGCCGGGATCCCCGTGCATGGTGCCAGGCCCATGCACAGCCCTCTGCGCACAGGGCACGGCGCTGCACTGGTGCAAGGTGCCGGGATCCCCGTGCATGGTGCCAGGCCCATGCACAGCCCTCTGCGCACAGGGCACAGTGGTGCACTGGTGCAAAGTGCCAGGATCCCCGTGCATGGTGCCAGGCCCATGCACAGCCCTCTGCACACAGGGCACAGTGCTGCACCGGGGCAAGGTGCCAGGATCCCCGTGCATGGTGCCAGGCCCATGCACAGCCCTCTGCACACAGGGCACAGTGCTGCACCGGGGCAAGGTGCCGGGATCCCCGTGCATGGTGCCAGGCCCATGCACAGCCCTCTGCGCACAGGGCACAGTGGTGCACTGGTGCAAAGTGCCAGGATCCCCGTGCATGGTGCCAGGCCCATGCACAGCCCTCTGCGCACAGGGCACAGTGCTGCACTGGTGCAAAGTGCCAGGATCCCCGTGCATGGTGCCAGGCCCATGCACAGCCCTCTGCGC